GTGCGCCGCCACAGCCCAGCTGCAGTATATTTTATTGGTTGCTTTTCATTCCGCTAAGTATGACTTTAGCATCATAAATAAAATTGTAAAATCAGGGTTGGTGGAGTGGAGGGGCAGGGCTCCACACTGCCACCCTCAGCAGCGGGAGGATTTCCGTAGGCTTCAGGACCTCAGCTCTGTTCTAGCTGAAATGTGTGGCTTTGGCATAGAGGAGAATTCAAGGACTAATTAGATTTGGGAGGAATAAATGATAACCTAATATAGTATTTAAAAACAAAGGTAAAGAAATGACAGGTGCTCAGAAGTAAAGACTGCAGAACCTGGCGTTGGGCTTCTCTAAGAGAAAGTCCCCTTCATTGTTTTTATAATAGTCATTTATGCTATTTCCCCTTTGGTTGTTTTTATAATTGTCATTAACACTATTTTAGTTAGATTTGAAGTTACTGTCTTCAGTGGTTTGCCTAGGGGCCTAAATGAGATCTCAGGGTGTTTCCAGAAGCCTTCCTCTTGGATCAGATCATAGGGGTTCAGAGAGAAGCATCACTTTCCTGCAAACAAAGGTAGCAGTCTTGCTAGGGCATCTCAGAATGTCCAGGGAGAGGAACGAGACCTACCATGGCCATGCGCATTTAGGCCTTATGGCTGTTTCTTGTTTTAATGAGACAGAGGTCTTTCCAAAGAATACTGTTTCATGTTTGCAACTTTCCAAGTCAATGTTGGTTGTGCTGGAGTTCTTTCTTCTCAATCAGCAGAGCCCTTAACCAGATTCCTGGATTAGGGTTTCCTTCCCTCCTAGTGTCCCCATATTTTTTCCTGTCTTCTGCTTAACCCACAGAAGATGAATTACAAGTTTTCATGCTATTTATCTACTAAAAAAGAAAATGTCTTATATATAAACCTCTGGGGTACCTGAGACACTGGTGCCATTTATTTTCTTTTCCTGCCCTGCCTCTGCCTCCTGATTGCTGGGAATAAGGGCGTGCCCTGCCACCTCCACCTGGCATCCGATTATTTCATAATTACTCAGTGAGTCATCCATTGTGTA